GTGAGAGGTGTAAATTTAGAATTTTATTTTTTTACTAGTGAAGCCTACCTCCTAAAGATATAAATATATAGTTTTATTTTAACAATTTGAACTGTCTATATTTTAGTACATTATTTATAGATCATCCTTGCAAAACTTTAGACAAATTCAAAACCCTTAAGACATCTATTTGTGGTGAATAAAATAGATGGATACGATTTTACAAAGAAACACTAAAATTAATCCAAAGTTTATATGGTTTCAGAATTGAGTGGTTTTTGACAAACGTGATCTTTGAGGTAAGACATAAATGATAGACAGTTGAATCATAGAAATTACATTACGAGTGGGGCCACAAAAATGAGTGTTAAAAGCGTGTGTCCTCAAATCCTAACCATTTACATATACTCCTTATGGTGCTCATTCTGTAACTCTTTTCAACGATCTAAACTATCTATATGATTTGAGATTTTTGTTCTTACATGATATTCACGTAGCACGAGATTTGGCGATTCTATTGATATTTATAATTTTGCGATTATCAATTTGCTCAATGAAGTGTTTGAAATCTACTCATTGCTTTCCAATTAGTCATGAGACAATGTCAAATTTTTTCTTGCTCCAGTACATGTTTATGTTATTCAAATAATATTTGCCGGAGCACTTTTGAATAGAAATCAGTTAAAACCAACCATCATTATTTATGATTGGTGCAAATCTGAGACCCAAGCAACAAAGATTAAAATAAAATAAAAAAAAAAGAAAAAAAAGAGGACATCATATATTCTCATCAACAAGAATTAGTAGCAAACAATCCCTTCTCTAATCCACGTAGGATAGACATCTTAGTTAGAACTTCTTTTTACATCCAAATTTTGTAACTGTGACATTATACTTTGGATTTAAATCTCAATTGGAGGTGGTCTAATATAAAGAAAAGATCGCAATATGCCCATTGAAATAGATTATAACGAATTATCTTTAACATTTAAGTATTTAATTTAAAGAAAACAATCATGACTAAACTATGACTCCTTCATAATTTGTTGACAGTTCAACAAATTCAGTCCAATTACCTTTAAATTACAAGTAGCCACATCTATTAAAGAAGAGATAATCAGGTACAAGTCCAAAACGGAGTGAATTATTGAGTTTAATCCGAGACATTTTGGTTACCAGTTTAGGTCCTCTAATTTTTATTCCAAGTGAGTAAACTTTCTATTTTGTGACGATAAGTGCTCCTTCTAAAGATGAGTTTTAATAGTATTTGCCATTCAGTACTATGATGTAAGATCCTGCATCGACCAATGAAGAGGGGGTGATGTGCATTATATGTACATGCTCCCCTCCCAATAGCACGAGGTCTTTTGGGAACTCACTAGTTTCGGATTTCATCGGGCGAGAGCATTCCTAGGATGGGTGACCCACTGGAAAGTTCTCTTGTGAGTTCCCAGAAACAAAACCGTGAGGGCATGACCAGGGCCCAAAGCAGACAATATCGTGCTACAATGGAGCCGAGATTAGGATGTGACAAAATGGTATCAGAGCCACTCTGTCGTGTGATGCGAGTGTACCGACAAGGACGTTGGGCCCCTAAGGGGGGTGGCTTGTAAGATCCCACATCGACCAACGGGGAGGAGGTGATGTGATTTATATGTACATGCTCCCCTTCCTTTAGCACGAGGCCTTTTGGAAACTCACTGACTTCAGATTTCATCGGAACTCCGAAATTAATCAAGTTCGGACGAGAACAATCCTAAGATAGGTGACCCACTAGGAAGTTCTCGTTGGAGTTCCCAGAAACAAAATCGTGAAGGAATGGTAAGCTCAAAGCGGACAATATCGTGCTACGACGGAGCTGGTCTAGAATGTGACATATGATATGAAGAATTCCTCTTCACTTGTAAGTGAAAGGTTTTAGGTTTGAATCTCGTAGATGACGAATTCGATATCAAATTAGGCTGTTCATTGTGTGGCTTTATCGAACTCTTCCTTCCCTTAGTATAAAAAATCAATGTACTCAAAGAAAAAAAATATATATTTCTCAAATATCTATCATATACCCTCGAGTTGTATGGGGTCCAAAACGGTAAAGTAAATGAGTTGTTTCCCATGAATTTTTTACTATGCAGCACCTTTAAATATTTAAATTGAATTTTTCTAATTAAACCATGCGGTATCAAGGATATGCTGAATGTGGGGATTGAAAGCATATTTCACGCGTATCGGGTCAATGGCATATTGGGTAAAATAAACAAACTTTAAACCCCACTTTGTAGTCTACATGGTAAGGCATTTAAAAATTTAGAAACTTTAACGAAAAGTTCTAATAGTGTTCATTTCAATGAAAAACATATTTTTACACTTAAAAGTCAATCGTAGTACTATTTACTTTACCCTTTATTTTGTCTTTATCGTTAAAAATTAAAACTCAAAATTGTCAAACCATTTTCATTAGTTTTCCTTAAAAATTTGGATCAGATCCAAACAGATTGTAATGGGATAGGATTGGAATTCAAAAGTCTATTAAAGAAATGTACAATATGATCTCCAGGTCTTGAGTTTTTTGGTGCATGAAGCGAACAATTAAAATGTGAATTTTTCAATATATGAATATATATTAAATAAAATATTTAAACAGGAATCCAAAAGATAAAAAATTCTAATTACAAACTGAGTAAGTGACACACAATTATATATACGGAAAAAACAAGAAAACTCAAATTTTTTCAATCAAAACTACATATAAATCAGTAAACACACACGATTATCAACCCAAACAATCAAATTTCATAAAAACTTGTCCAACCCACACCATATAATCAAAATTTAGAGCAAGTTGAGCAACCCACATGGAGAATGGAGATTGAGTGTGGTTAGTGGTTGGTGCCTCGGTGGTGAGGTCCTTTGCAGTCAAGAGCCTCGGAGGAGTGGGGTCGGCGCCTTGACGAAGAGAGGTCTCAGACTTTTGGTAAGCGCCTCGGAGTCGGCGGAGAGGTGAGAGGTCCATCATAGTTTGTACGTCAAGTGTTATGTCGCTAACGCGAAGAACTCAAAGGTCCTTCGTAGTTTGTACGTCGAGTGTTGTGTCGCTAACACGAAGAACTCAAAGGTTTCTGTATCTTGAACTCTGTAAGGGATAAAATAAAAATTAATTACATATATCTTTAAACTATATATCTACTAGAGTGAACTGTCAATTTAGTCTTTGAATTATCACCTGAGTGAAAATTAAGTCTCCTAAACTATTTTTTTTTTAGAAAAATTAGTACTTGAATTATAAAAATTTGCCAATCAATCCCTGATATTAGATTCGAAGCTACTATATTCAATTTTCTGTCAATTTAGGTCACGTTACTTTCATGTGATATACATTGGAGGGTAGAATGATAATTTTCCATAAAGAAATAGCGTATGGAATTAACTTCGGACGGTAAATTAGACGTTAGATTCCCAATTATATGAAATGTTAAGAGCTTATGGGTGAGAAAATACGATATTACACTTTAACGTGTGTCAAGTGACTTAAGTTGACGAAAAATTGGATAAAATAGTTTTGAATATAATAGTAGGGATGAAATTAGCAATTTTAATAAATTTAGGTACTTATTTTGACCAAAAAAACCTTGAAACCCACGAGGTCAAAATTTAGCCATTTGGCCAGCGGGCTAGCCATCCTTAGCCAGCTAGCTAGCCCATTCAGTTGGGCCCAGCTAATATATATATATATACATATATATATATATATATATATTAAGACAATATTCAAATAAAAGATTTAAAAATTCTAATTTTTTTCCTATAAATATCTATACCATTTCTTCCATCATTTCACCCTTTCATACTATCTTACCTTATTTTATTCAATTTTTCACATTCAATTCACCTCATACACTCTTTTCATACACAGCTCTCTCTTACCTCTTCCAATAATCTTTCCTTTAATTTTTCAATAATTTTCAAGTGGCCACATCTTTAAGTGGCACTCAAAATAGTCCAGAGGCTTATTCATTTAGCGATAAGTGGTACTAAAAAAATATCCGGAAACTTTATTTTAATGGTAGTTTAATTCAATTATCCAATAAAATTAAAAAAACAAACTTAAAATAATAATTATTGAGGGGCTAAGAAATAGCCCCCTCCGGTTGGAGCTAGTATATAACTAATTAACTATAGCCTGACATTATTCATCAAAAAATAATTTCTTACATAGCTATAATCTGGACGGGGGCTAAACATAGCCCATTCGGTTGGAGATGGCCTGATATTCTTTTTATTTTAGTGGTGAGATGGGTAAAAATGAAGAAACTATTAGGTCAAACAAATAATTAGATTAACACATATATAATGGGTGCCCAAATGTATGTAAAATACAAGAGTACTCAAGCATTAACTGATTATTAATTTATTATGTCACTAATCACGTGTTTGAGTCGATTCTACAATATATATATATATATATATATATATATATATATTATTTATCATTTTAACCATTTATTTTTTGGAAGTTCCTTCATAAATTATCTTTACAAAATTTAATCCAATCGGAAATCATTTAGCCAATTGATTATTACAGAGAAAAGTTCATTGTTTTCTCAGCGACGCTTTGTAGGTCTATTTTTTTCTTTTTTGGCGTAATTAGATAATGAAACATTTTGTAATTTGGATGAAATTTTGTAAAAGTTATCTAAGAAGGTAGATCCAAAAAATTAACGTTTTAGATGACAAAAGTGGTTAGCGCCGTAATATGTTATGATCTAGTTACCGTTTGAGCTTTTTTGTATGTAAATTATAAATATAGAGAAAGAGGCAGGTAGCTATGGATACAATTGTGACAAAGATAATAAATGGTCTAATCCAATTTTAGTTAATAAAATTAAAGGGGAATCATTTTTCGTACTTTGTTTGGCAAGAAATCTAATTCACCAAAAAATAGAAGATAAAACCCCAAAATAAAAAATTAATTTCTATTTACCTTTTGTTTCAATTGATTAAAGGAAAGGGGGAAATGTCTCTCATTCAGTCATTGTTTGCTTGCTCCTTTTAACATCACGGGATCCCCATCCCCATCCCCATCCCCATCTTTTCTCTCTTCGTTCTTTTATGTCTTCCATTTCCTCCACCTCCTCCTCCTTCGTCTCCTCCTCCCTACCGCCGCCGCAAGCCAACCTCACCACATTTTCTTATCACTCCCTTCCTTTTGCTTCTTTCAACAAAGAGCATTGAAATTCGAAACAACAAAAGAAAGAAAGCTCACAGAATTCACAAACTCTGTTTTGTTCTGGGGAAGCTTTAGGCACGGAGCAAAAATGCCTCACACCAGTGCCAAATCTCTGCAAGAAATGGGCTTTGATTCCCTCACGAACCGATTCCGTGACTCACTGAGTTACAACGACACCACCACCACCAAGGACCACAGCAACAAGCCAGATGTCAAACAGCTCGATCTGGGTTCGCCCGTCTCGCCATTGATGACTCGGAGTTCAGCCAATGGCGGCAATGGAGTCGGCCACAGCGGTGGGGCAGCAGTAACCAGTTCAAGCTGCAGTTCAGGTACTTCTTCTGGTTCAGTTTCGAGCAAAACCAGCAATACCCAGCTGAGCAGAAGATCGGATTCCAAACCTAACAACCACTCCGGCGAGCTCTCGGTTTCGTCCGAAACAAGCCCGAGAGCCTCCGAGGCGGTCCGATCCGGTACGACGCCGAGGAATTGGAAGCCGGTTCACCGGAGATCGGTGTCTGCTGGACCCCCATTGATCTACTCTGGTGGAAGCTTCAATACCAGCTTCAGTACTAATGCGAATAGTACTAATACTAATACAGCAACTTCATCTTCTTCTGCTTCAATGGCGTCGACCACCACTGTTTTTCCGAGTGGCAACATTTGCCCATCTGGGAAAATCGCCAAGTCTGGATTGGTCTGCAGAGGAACCAACAAGACCGATGTTTTGGGGTCTGGCGGTGGCAACTATGGCCACGGCAGCATAGTCAGAGGAGGCGGTGGGGGTGCGAATGGCGGCGAGTCTGCGATGGCAAAGAGGGCAACTGGGAACTCTGATCCAGAGGAGCTGAAGAAATCTGCCAATGAGCTTTATAGAAGAGGCCAGTTTCTTGAGGCATTGGCATTGTATGATCGTGCCATATCCTTGTCTCCGGACAATGCTGCCTACCGGAGTAACCGTGCAGCAGCGTTAACAGCGCTGGGGAGACTTCCGGAGGCAGTGAGGGAGTGTGAGGAGGCTGTCAGGTTGGACCCTGGTTATGGGAGGGCGCATCAGCGCTTGGGTTCTCTTTATCTTCGGTGAGTAGTGTTGAAAACTGAGACTTTAATCAATCGAAAGTAGGTTTTTCGCAATTTTGTTTACGATGTCTTATTTGTTTGTATGATTGTGCAACTTTTATAGTAAACTTGTTTTTTTACATTGCCGGAATGTGATTGGTCTGTTTGTTTATATTTCACATGAATTGTGCATCAAGTGTGTTTCTTATTGGTTTGTTGGTATCTCTGATGTGTCATTGGTTTGTGTTACCTCGAGCTTTCGCTTCCATTTTCTATTATTTGAATTGGTAGACAAGTACTTCTGATATCAACATTGGGTTCTGTGTTGCTGGCAACCTGAATGGTTTTTGGAACATTGTTCTATGTTATGTTCTTTTTATCTTTCTGCGCGTTCGAGTACAGATTTCTAGTATTTTTGTTGCTATATCTGGACTTTGAGTCTTTTTAGGGCTTGTAACTGAAACATTTATGGCTAATTTATTTGCATAGAGTTTCTAGTTTTAGTGGCCCTCCATTTGCATCTGGGATTCTTATAAGTTTTCCGAAGTTTTCAGTTATGTCAGTCCACTCTCTATCTTGCATCATACTCTGAAGTGAACATTTCGAATTCGTTCAGCGTCATCTCAGTTAATCCATAACTTGGAAACTTTACAGTTTTGGGCTAGTTGAAAATGCCTACCATCACCTCTGTATTCCTGGGCAACGGCCGGATCAGTCTGAGTTGCAGAAGTTGAAGTCATTGGAGAAGCATCTGAAACAATGTGAAGATGCCCGTAAGCTTGGTGATTGGAAAAGTGTGCTAAGGGAATCTGAGGCAGCCATAGCAACTGGGGCAGAGTCCTCTCCTCAGGTATAACACAGCACAAGTTCTCTTAATTTTCTGATTGATGTGGAACAAAGTTTTTCAAATCGCTTAAAACTAATTAGAATTAAAACACAGCTTGTTGCTTGTAAAGTTGAAGCTCTACTGAAGCTACATCAGCTCGAAGATGCAGAATCTAGCCAAGCAGATATACCCAAGTTTGAAAATTACCCTCCTTACTTGCAAACCAAACTCTTTGGCATGCTTGTTGAAGCTTATGTTCTGTATGTCAGAGCCCAGGTTGAGATGGCATTAGGAAGGTAAGAACTGAAGTTTCAAACTTACGTAACACACCAGCCATGGTTTTTAGAGTGAGCTAGAAGGATAATAGATTTTTTGCAGGTTTGAGAATGCAGTAGCAGCGGTAGAGAAGGCTGGACTGATTGACTACAGTAATGTTGAAGTAATGAGGGTTTCGAATAAAGTGAAGAAGGTCGCAAATGCTCGTTCTCAGGGTAATGATCTTTTTAGCTCTGGAAGATTTGCTGAAGCCTGCTCTGCTTATGGGGAGGGCCTCAAATACGATAGTTCCAACTCTGTTCTCTATTGCAATAGAGCAGTTTGTCGGTCCAAGCTCGGACAATGGGAACAGTCTGTTGAAGACTGCAACCAAGCCCTAAAGATTCAACCTAATTACATCAAAGCTCTTCTTCGAAGGGCTGCCTCAAATGCAAAGGTACATTGTCCTTCTTATGTGCATGTGGGTGGGAGCTCATTATTTGAGTTGATTTATATGTGACTGTTGGTGTCTTTTCTCCCAAAATTTATAGCTTGAACGATGGGAAGAGGCAGTGAGAGATTATGAGGCCTTAAGGAGGGACCTTCCTGGAGACAATGAGGTTGCTGAGTCTCTACACCGGGCACGAGTTGCATTAAACAAGTCTCGTGGAGAGGAATTTCATAATGTGAAGTTTGATGGTGAAGTGGAAGAAGTCTCAAGTTTGGATAAATTTAAAGCTGCGGTATCATCACCCGGTAAGCTTCATCCATTTTTAATTCTTAGTAGTTAATTAAAATCCAAGTCCATTGTATAACTGAAGATTTGAAATTTCAGGTGTTTCCGTCGTCCATTTCAAAGTTGAATCCAACGAGCAATGCGCAGAAATATCGCCATTCATAAACATGCTTTGTGTTCGATATCCGTATGTTCACTTTTTTAAGGTAGTTAAATGATTCATTGGTCTATATTCACCACCTCATGATCAAGAGATCATTTCACCGTGTTCCTACCGTTTCAGATGAGATTTATTTTACCATTTTTGCATTGATCGTATATATCATAATGCAGTAGGAGAATTACCTTATACGGGAGGATCTACAATTAAGTAGTTTGTTGTTTGATTGAAGGTGGACGTAGAGGAGAGCTTATCCGTAGCAAAAGCGGAGAGCATAAGAACCGTTCCAGCGTTTAAAATTTACAAAAATGGAGAAAAGGTGAAGGAGATGGTCCGTCCAAGCCATCAATTCCTGGAAGAATCGGTGAGAAGCTGCAATCTCTAGCAGGAATGGCGAAACATCTCAGGTCTGGTCCGTTGGCTCGCGTATATGTGTATGGTAACTCTCCTAGTATTTACCATGTTTATTCATATTTCCCGTTCCTACTACAAGGAATACCATTTTTACCTGCGACATACATAATCAGTTACTCAATTGTTTCAGAACCTGCAGAGAGAAATAGCTCTGCTGTGACTTCCTGTTACTCTACATTTGGGAATTATATACATAATATTCTTCATCTTCTTTTTTTTCTTTTTTCTTTTTTTATATTATTTTTCTCCCTCTAGATTTATTTTTCCCTGCCTTTGGATTCCATGGGTTTGGTTGTCCTTTTAAAGTTTTTTTTATTTTTTATTTTTTATTTTTATTTCCCCAAAATGCCAGCCTGTGTCAATTCCTGATTTTGAGCAAAAGTGGATAGTTTTGATTATAATGTCTCCCTCTCTCTCTCTCCTCTGGTAGAGAGAGAGAATGTCGGGTGGTAGGTGGCATTGTGTAAGATCATTGTTGCGTAAACATTTTACCTTGTTAGGGTCGTTATCGGATAGGTAATCCGATACAAAATAAAACGACTCGTTAATAAATCGAATTGTTATCTGATCGTTTGTTAAGAATTCGTTAAGATAATGAATTTGACACGACCCGTTAAAATAACGAAGATGACACAAAAACGTTATGAAAACAATAAACATTAGTTTTTCAGGCCTACCCACAACCGATCCCTTGCCCATCTCTTCGTCTTTCTTTTTCTCCTTCACTTCCTCTTCCTCTTCCTCTTTCTTACACTCTCATGGCTGGGAGACCCAAGGTGTGCTTTGTAGTTAAGTATTCGATCCACACGGACCCGCTGCTTCCGAGTAACCTGATTTCGATCACAACCGCGAGCGAGCGGAAGAACTCCTCCAGGGAGTCTGTTTGTCAAGGATAGAACGTGCCAATTCCATGCCTTATTCATGCCGTCTCTTCAGAATGCCTCCTTCCTTCTCTGCCATATGACATGTGTGCTTGCTTAGTAACTTAATTATTTTGTTGCCGATAATCCATCTATGTACCTACTTTTTACGTTCAAAACCAAGGATGAATGAACAAATTAGGATATGGTGGAATTTAAAGTATGTGCTTAGTGGTCGCAAGTTTTGTTTCCCTTCATTCTATCTCGTCACACGTGTCGATCTCTAAATTTAATTTAGTTTAAATTAATTAAGAGTTGTTTGACAACCATTTCGTTTTTAATTTTTACCTTGTTTTTTTTAAACTAAAAGATGAAAACCGAAAACAAAATGGTTATAAAAAAACCTCTAAATGTTCATGACTAGACCAATTTTTATATATTATTATTCATATAATCTGTGAGTAGAAACCATTAGATGAATCCATATCATATAACTTACCAGATTATTATCTCTCTACAAAAGGATTGCATATACACATACCTGTGCTTACTTGTGTTGAGTGACCATTTTGCATTGCATATAAACACAATGCTTTAAAGATTGCATACGCATGTAACCTAGACCAAGACTTGTACAGTGCATATTTGTCGTTTTTGCAAAGCTAAATGGATTCGTGTATGTAGACAAGAATACTTGATTCTTGGCCGTGTCCACATGTCTAAGGAAAACAACTTATTAAGTTGGACCAATAACTTTATGTAGATGTACTTAAAAATTAAATATGGACTTGTATGAAAGGTGCATCGATTTGAGGAGTGTATGATTGTTGTGGATTTCGAACCTTAGGCTCATTACTCGTATAGTACACCTCTATTTAATTGTTTCGTTTTGTTTAGCTCTTCTTGTTTTCTTATTAATCAATCCAATTGTGATATGTAATTTATTGCATTAGTGTGTAGTTAAATTGTAACAACCAGTCCCAAATAATATTACGGATTTTAGAATGGAAGGTCATTTTGGTAAATTAGGATAGATTTTTTGAAATGTGTTTTTGGGTCTGAAATTGTGTGCCTTGTGGGGCCACTTCTTTTGGGTTTTGTACCCCCTGGCCCAACTATATTTTCTCCTCTCCCTTCCTTGTGACCTTCTCTCTCTTTCTCCCCCTCGCTTTATCTTTCTCTCTCTCGCTCTCCTCACCTTTCTCGAGCTACACACACACATGGCACCACTACCCACACCACCCTATCGTCTCTGGCGAGGCCCCTAACTCACCACCACCTAGACCTCATCACCATGAACCCCAGACAAGGAACCTGGGAACTCGATTGTGGTAAAGGCCACTGTTCATGAACGAAACTTAGCGAGTTTCCAGCACCTCCGACGTAGGTAAGCTACGAAAAACACCATAAATCTTCCCCTTTTCATCCTCACATTTCATTTCTGATCGTTTTTGTGTATTGTGGACTTTGAAACATCGAGAAACCGACTCGGGGAGACTTCCCCAAATTTCGGCGAGAACCCGTGGGTTTTAAACTGTTTTCTGGCCTACTCCAGCGACCACACATCTTGAAATTGGTACGAATCTCTTCCTTGTTCCTTGGCTTCAATTTGGTATAGTGCATGATAAATTTTAGTTAGGCTTTAGGGTTGAACGGAGTTGGGATAACTCCGGCCTTCTTCTTCCTCAAAACGGCCAACTTGCCTTGGAAACGTGTCAAACCCGATCCACAGATCTAAGCCGGCCTAATTGTCTAGGCCAAACCCAAATGAAACCTGGCCTAACCCATCCTTCAACCCAAACCTTTGGGCCAAGCTACCAAGCCCAAACCCATATTTGGAACCAAAGCCTAGAACCATTAAACCTAAGCCCATAAGCCAAGATCCAACCCAGATCCGACCCGACCTGGTCGGATCCCATAACCTAGGCAGCGCGTGGGTCTTTGGGTGGGCGCACGTGAGTAAATCGAATTTACGCTTTATGAATTATCATACTTTATCAAATAACTGTTTACTGAGATATTTATGATATGATGTTTGAGCTATTGAGCTCCAATGAGATATATATTTTGGAAAGATTATGTTCGTGATTTTATGTGCTTACTTAGTGGTTATCCATACTATGAGCCTACGGACGATTGATACTTACATTTGGCTTTGGTTGGGTGATGTAGTGGCTTCAGTTGGAAGATATTTATATTTGGATTTGGCTTTGGTCACGTGATGTAGTGGCTTCAATCGATTATGATAACATTACTAAGCACATTATATACGATATATGTTTTATGAAAGGTGTTATGGCATGCTAGGGTTTTCGGAAAACCTATTAAATATTATACTATTGAGTTTTCATGAACTTTGAGAGTTAGTACGTTGATGAATAACTGGTTCAATATTACTTATATATCAACTTGGTCCACTCATGTTTTGTTTTGCGCTTCCTCAGGACTTAGAATTGAGGCGCACAATCCTGGCGTCAAGGCACTTTCACATATGCATCTTCGAGTCCTCTCGGTGTATGATCCATCCCTTTGTTCATTCAATTTAATATTATTCCTTTTTAGTGTCTCAAATTAGTTGTATGCTCTGAACACGTTCCACAATTGCATATTCATAATAATTAAATTTACAAGTTTTATTTATGTCGGTTAATTGTTTTTAGTTCTCATGCATCCTAATGGCTTCGTCACCTTCGGGTGTCGGCTAGCATGTGCCTACCCTAGTGTTTGGAGAATATTAGGATCATGCATGTCATAAATTATAGGATTAAGTACCTAAATCCCTCTAACATTTTAGTGTCATTCCAAATTGGTCCCATCATTTTTAAACATTTCAAACAAGTAATCAACCTATTAAAAATATCATATCCATTAAGCCCCAATTGAATTTCTCTTAAATTAACTAGGGCTTACTTTGTCTCCAACACTAATAGAAGGTCATGAAAGCATGGCCTCCACCAAGTAACAGCCGCCACCACCTCTTTCAGGCCATCACCTCGAAACTCAATACACAACCACAAACTCTACTCTACAACTCAAGCAGCCAATATCGAGAAGGTCCTGAGGTTGCTGAAATGCTATGGGCTGCCATGAAGTCGGCACCACTATCTTCATCACTCACAAAGAAGAACTGGAAGTTTTACTAGCCCAAAATTGGTGAATGAGAAAATCACATGAGCATAAACAAGCTTCTTGAAAGATTATCTGAATTCTTAACTCTCTTTTTTGTTACAAGACTTCCCAATCTTTATTTTTGTTGTCCATTTTATTCGTGAATTTGTTTATTTATTTTTATCTTTTCATCTTTATACCTTTTTTGGAGTTATTTTATTATTATTTTAGTATCCAAGTAAGCAAATAAGTGGAACCCATTATTGCCACATGTATATTTAACGAAAAAATAACTAGAACTTAACGAATTCAGAATATAAATAAAAAATGTTAAGACCAATTTGAAATAAGGAAAATTAACGAAAAGTCCAAAAAAACTTCATTTTTAATGAAAAACCCTTTTTAAAGGTATGGTGAATAGTAAAAAAAAATGTGACTTTTCATTAAAAGTAAATAATATTATAAGTGTTTTGTTAAAACTCTCAAAATAATAACACTAAAAGGCTAAGGGGTGTAGGGCACTTAATCCTAAATTATAATAAGAAAAGAAAAAAAAAAGGTTAATTGATAAACCAACCGCCTATATAAACAGAAGGGTAGAGCCGGTTGGCAGTAATAAAAGAGCAGAAAAAAAATCCCAGAGAGAGGGAGCAGAGCGAAAATGGAGATGGCGAGTGCAAGTGCGAGTGGGAGAAAAAGGAAGACGACGAGTTTCAAGAGCGAAAAGATGTTTCTAGAAGATTACCTTCTCCTCATTCAGTCCAACTCCCACCTCCATCTCACCGTCGCTCATCTCAATCAGGTCCCTCTTCTTCTTCTTCTTCTTCTTCTTCTTCTTCTTCTTCTTCATAGATCATCTAGTTTTAAATTAGTAATTTATTCACATTTTTCTTTCATTTTATTTCTAAACTTTTTGATTCGAGCTCCTTTTCGAAATTTTGGTTTTTCAGATCATTGGCATGCACGGATACAAGAAGATCTACAAAGTTCCCAAGGTGAAATTTCAATTTCCTCCATATTCTTAGCTTCTGTTCGGTTCCTGAGAAAATATTAAATTAATCTACTATTGTTATATTGGTCCGTTATATTTTAAATGTCATGAATCATGATTTTAGCTAGTTTTTTTTTTTTTTCTTCATATTTTGTTGAAATTTGCTTCAAGCCTTTGGCCGATTTTTCTCACACTTTCTCGGTAACCAAACAAGTCCTAATCCATCGCATTCCCTTTATTTTTTCAACATTTTTCATATTTATTTGAAATTTGGTTCGAAGTCTTGGCCCCTTTTATTCTCTCACTATTTCTCGGTAGCCAAACAAGCCCTAATCCATCTCATTTCCTCCTTTTTTCCCCATTTTTCAACTCTTGAGAAACGTTTGAGCGACGCCGTGAGTTCGCTGTCGCTTGTCGATCCGGCTCGCTCGACGCTCAAAGACTACATCTCGCCGTTTGTGATCACTACCCTGGAGGATGTCGTCGCCGACCTCGCCGACCTCAACTGGAAGGAGTGCTGCGTCACCTCCGTTGAAACTCTAAGCTCGTGGAAATACACAACCATCGCTCCTGCTGCTCCTGCGAGCCTCCGCCACGACCTCGTCCAATACTCCCAGCTTCAACAATCACCGCCGTTGGCCCTTGATTTCAGACCCTACGGCGTCGTTTCGGCTCCTAACTCTGCTTCCGAGACCGCTCCTCCAGCGAAAAAACTGGTGACGAAGAGGAGGAGGAAGCGATCGCCGATAGCCGCGGGTTTCGCTCGTGCTGCTCTGGACTCTTTTTCGTACGGATCGTGCTGACGTCACAGGTACTGAATTAGTGAATTTTCGCGACTCACGCTTTGTGTGTGCGCGCTGTTTGTTTACTGTATTTTATTTTTTATTTTCAAATTCGGATATTCTGTTTTTTTTTTTTAATAATTTTTTGTTTCGGTTGTTTTTCTCGCAGCAGACTTACCGTGTTGGCGGGAGTTGGGCACTTGATTGGTAGAGCTGTGATATTCGTGTAAGGAGAGGGGTATTTCTGGAATTTCGTGTAGATTGGTACAATTGTGTTTGTGAAGAAGTGTTAAGGGTATTTCGGGCTTTTTATCTTTGTTCCTTTGTAGTTGGTTGTGGTAATTGCTAATCGGTAAAGTGAGTCCAAATCTACGCGTCTCGTGGTTTCCTTTTAATGAGTAGGATTGACTAATGCACGTTTTAGTTTTATAGTAATGGATGTTTTAGAATGAGAGAGAAATTGCAATCTATCGAATTCTCAGCAGGATTTGATTACATTATTAGTATATAAAGAATGACTTATATGTTACGAGTACACCTTCATGTGATATTTTTTACCAATAAAATAAAGATGTGTAAGTTTTTATACAAAATATTTTATTGGCACAAAACATACAGAGATGTACACGTGCTATGTAAATTGTTCTCCAATAAAAATGGAGAGTAACGTTTTCAATCACATGAGGTATAACTTAGGAGTCATTTATTTGCATTTCTTGCAAATCCATTTCAATAATCCAATTGACTTTAGACGAAAGTTGTAATTCCAATCCAATCCACTTTAGCCATTTATAACCCTCAATTTTCTTGCATTCTAGCAAAGTGCTCTCAGATTTTGTTGAGGTCAATACTCCATGATCCATATCTCAACTCGCATTGCATTTGTCTCCCCTTCTTGGTCGGTTGAGTAAAAAGAAAGACTTATTCTTTGATACATATAAAATTATATGGAAAGCCGTATTCGATGAAAGTCGCATGTATGGTTTGGAGAGAGATCTTTTATATCTTTCGAGATCCACCCTACAATATGGGGAGCATAGCCTTAGTAGAAGTGGGTAGCGGCACTGGGTGGATGGTCCATCCGCCCTTACGTGGATCGAACTAATTCATTGATACAAATAGTTCATGGAAGAAAATTGAGTTATTTGGACCCTGGAAGATTGATAGAATGAATTGCTAGCTTTCGTATACGAGATATTCATGGAACTCGAACTTAATCTCACTCTCTAACATTATGAAACTCGAACTTAATCCCATTTTTTCTCTCAAACAAAAATATCACCACTTAACATTATGAAACTCGAACTTAATCCCACTTTTTCTCTCAAACAAAAATATCGCCACTTATGGAACTCAATAATCCACAACTCAAAGTCTCCACCCCACTTTGGTAGTATTCCGTCTACAATACTATCAAAATGAAGGGTAATATAGTAATTGTGTTCTAGTTGGCATTGTTGCACATTAAATATATCCAACCAGAAGCTGCCGCGTGGGTTTTCTTTCCACGTCAAGACCAAAGAGTCTTCATATTCACTTCTTCACCTGCATTTTCCCTGCAATCAGACTCCCCCGCATTTCCCAAACTTTTTCCCGCCAAATTTCCATTGCTAATGTTTGGGAAAGAGACAAACCCATGAGATCCATTTTCTTCCTCTTTCTCTGCAAGACTGCAACTCTCGCCACATCTTCTTCCTCGCATCCCCCCCTTCCTCCACCCCCTCCGCTCCCACAGCCATAAAAACAACCATCAGAACCGATCTTCCGTTCTGTCGAATCCCGCCGTTCAATGACGACAGGCTTAAAACAAAAGCAAATTATACTCTATGAAATCGTTCTTTCCTTTTTCTGGAGATGAAAGTGGAGACAAAGGAATAAATAGGGAGGCTAAAATGGGGTTGTGAGTGCGGAATATGGACCCAGCAAACCAGAAAGATGATGCCGAAGACCACCAACTTGAGAAAACTTTGAAACTCAAGCAAACTCCCCAGGCATTTGACCAAAATACCCTTCCCCCATCTACCAAATGAAAGCCACATAAGCAGTATTCCTCCCACGTCAACACATTTAACCTCATTTTGACGGAACAGACAGGTATTCTGCTAAAATAGAGCGAATATAGAGTTTCAAAATGATATTTTTGTCCCAGAAAAAAAAAAAGTGAGATGAAGTTCGGATTCCGGGATATTGCAAAAAATAAGTGAAAAAAAAAAAAAAGAAATAGAAAGGGTATTAAAAAAATATACATCATACCATAACTTGAGAAATAGCAACAAAAAAGGGGGAAAAGAATTGTGTATTTATTCGTGTAAATTTGCATTTCATTTTGATTTTCCGGTACGAAGAGCAGAATAGGATATTAATTGTAATTTGCATCAAACACAGAGACAGAGGCAAAGTAGATCATCTGAAATCCATCCTCGGAGACTTGGAGTTGGAGTTGGGAGCTGCTCCCGCAGGTGACTACTTGAACCTCCTCCTCCTCCCGAACCGCGATTGCTTTTCTTTTCCTGGAATTTGGATTTGGTGTTGCGCTGGTGATCGGAAGATGAGATGGAAGTGAAGCGTTGTAGATGTTGCAGAGATGGGTTATATCAGCAAGAGGCTTCCTCCTCAATCTCATCTTGCCATTATATAATTTCTTCTTGGAAGATGGCCTTGGCTTTGCAGTTGCCGCCGCCTCCTCCTCCATTACGAATGAGTTGATGGTGGTGCTGCTGTGACGACGGAAGGAAGGAATAAGTGAGCCATTTGTAATATTTGTGGGTTTGGAGGGATGCTGTACGGTCTGTTTTGGAGTTTGGATTTGGAGGGATGTTTTTCGGCTTAAAAATTGAATTTTCGGAGCCTGAATTTTTTTGACTAGTTTTAAAACTCACATGGCTACACGGAGATCTTCACCGCAACTCAGCTGACAATTTCCAAAAATAGTGGTTCTTTGTACACTAAAGTTTTGTCTCCCCACCCGCATTAAAAGATTTAGCAATTTTTTAAGAAGAACAATTATTTTCTTGGACACCCATGGAGTTTTGAAACAAACAACGTAGTAATTAATCGATTGATAAACTTTACGATTGTTGAATTTTATTTTACCGTACTTATCTAAACTTCACATTGTCGTGTATTCTTGAAACTCTACTCAAGCTTTATGAAATAAAAGAACCATGCAGTCACATGGAGAACATAATTATATGTCATCGGCAGAAATCGCCAAATTGAAGAGAGAACCTTCGTAATTAATACAAAGAAAATGAAAAATGGGTGTACAGAAAAAAACTAAATTCATTAAAAGTACAAAAGAAGGTTTTATTGATAGTTTAATAAATTATTTTGAGTGTCCCAAAAAATGTGAGGGTTAAAGTGTACACAGAACTACTCACACCAAAAGGTTGGAAAAAGTTTGAACCCCAACCGACCGCCAATTGGCAATGGTGCAAAATTACAACCTCACTTTTGGCGGGGAGGGAGTGGAAGGAAGGAGCCGCCAAATCAAAACGCGTGTCATCCAAGTAAATATTTGGCTCCATTTTTTTATCTTAATTGGCGCCATAATCAATTATCAAATGTAATCATCCTCGATAGGAGTGAATGTGTTCAGGATTTAGAGTAATTTTTAATGTATTAAGAACACGATTTGATCATTAACCTTTTGTTTTTTCAAGTATGAACTATTTACATTATGATACTTGTGTACCGAACCATGTTCCTAAAATCTTTCTCAAATTAGGTCGGTTTCACCCCAATGTTATAATTAAACAAATAACGATATACAGGTTTGATAAAATTCAGTTTTGACAAAAATTGATGAGGAAATTGTACTAAATAAACCAACCTAAAGTTGGTTAGTTTAGTTCGATTTGGTTGGGGTCGTTAAGGTCTAACCCAATTATTCTCAGCTGGATTCTCTCAACCAAATCTGCCATTCGATTCAATTATATTGATTTCGGAAGGTGATTCTAACCCAATTCGCCAAATACCATGACCGATAAAAATGTGATTGAATTGGATGAAATTGGTCCATTTGGGCAGATTGGATTGGATTGGATTGGATCACGAACACCCCTAAGCGTGGGAAATGACAAACTGCATTTCTTTCTTTGTATAAATTATATTTCCTTGGAAATTTGATTATATTTCCAGAGCATAACAATTGTGAGTATAGAAACAAGAAAAAGAAGGAAAATTTGTAAGAAACACAGTGATATAGTGACACAGGCAAAGTTCATTATCTGAAACCCATCCTCAGAGACTTGGAGTTGGGGCCGGCGACTGGAAGAAGAGACTTTCTTTTTGTAGAAATTGAGGCGGATGTGGAGACGGAGATGGAGACGGAGGAGGAAGACAAAGAAAGAGATGTCCGGCATGGCAATTGAACCGAATTGGTGAAGATATAGAGGTTGGTAATGTCGGCAAGAGGCTTCCTCATCCGCCTCCTCCTCAGCCTCATTTTATTACATTTCTTGCTATCCTCAGAAACTGCGTTGGTCACCTTTGCCTTTGCAGTTGCAGACAACGGAATTGGAGTTGGAGTTGGAGTTGGAGGGATGTTCTCTTTGTTATTGTGGTCGCCGTCACGGCAGGCGATGGCGTTGGCGACGGAGACGGCGCCCATTAAACAAAACGTTGAGAGAGTTAAGAGAGGAAGTGTTCGGTATTGAACGGGAAGAATGGATGATTGAGTTTGGTGGTGGGGGTGGGCATATTTGTAATGCTTTGGGTTTGCGCGGTGGCGGTGGGTGGGTTTCTAATTCTAAATTCTGAAAAGTGAAATTTTCATGCGCCAAATAGATTGAGAGGGAGATTTTTTACATTTTATTGTCACAACTGCCGACTTCCAAAATGTGAGAGAGAGAGAGCGAGGGGGGGGGGGGGGGGGGTGTTTTTAAAAATTAGATTAAAATTTAAAAATGTTATTGCGATTGTAAGAGGCAAAAGCGGATACTTTTTGGGCGGGTGAGTTGAGGAGCCAAAAATCCCAAAACGATATCTTTGTGCGAATAATGTATGAAGTGTTCAAGATTTTTTTTTATTAAAGATCAAATGCTTTTGGAAAATTCACCAAAAGTTTTGTCACTTTTTTTTGCCAAAATATCTTTGAAATCCTATTGATTTTGTCTGGAAATATAGAATATGTTTCATAATTATCCGATCAAATATTTTGAAGATAATTAAAACATTGCATCAATCTCAACAGTTGACATTAAAATTTTAACTTGGGTCTCAATCGGGTATTTCTAACCTAGTAGGGAAATTAAACCCGTAAAGTAACATTTGGAAATTTGGTTTTGACAATTAGTAAAAAACCAACACCACTTTTAATTCTTCCCCATTTTCATTTCGTAAAGGAAATAAATAAACGAACACAATATTTTTGATAAATTATGAAATGTTTGATTTGTGACATTTTGTATGAAGGCCTAAAAAATTAACGATTCCGATAATGAGAATAAATTACGTGGTGACCAAACAAGTATCTAACGTCGTATTAATTTACTGATTGATTAATGTTGGAGTGCTGGGCACTAGCCAGTGCGTGTCGAGAGGCCATTATACAGCACAGCAAAGTTCGTAAATGTATCGTGATCAAAGTTTATTTATTCAGTACATAATCGCTTTCCCCTTTCTTATTTGTGCAAACAAAATGCTGGAATAAGTCAGCATTGTTCTATCTCATCACTGGCAATCATGTCTTCCACAGAAAAAGGTTGTGGTGGATACAGAGGCACACAACCATGGTGACTAAATATTGGCAGATCGAGTGAAGCACTTGCAATCGACTTACATTCCTCGAGTGTTTCTGCATCCATTGATGAAACTTCCTGCAACACATGCGTCGTTTTGCTTAGATGACGATCAAACACAGATATTTAAGAGCATACATTTTTCGGACATCTTGCGTTCGGTTGCATTGATTTAAGTTACGAGGCATAAGGCACTCCTCCACAAAGTGACACAGGGAAGTACATAAACTATATGACTTCCTGCATTATCTTTCATCAGTTTTAGTTCATCTTTGAAACTATGCTGTTACCTTTGTATATGATTCCCGGATGTAGCCGACAAGTAGCAGTTTCATTTGCTGATTGGATGTACAACAATTGTTTCCATCAACTACATGTAATTGCTACATCAAAGGATAAAAAGAGCATCATCAATATGGAACTGACAGGATCAATGCATAAATAACTTGTTTTCGGGAAGTTGCAAGAACGAAAAACACAATCACTTTATAATCAATTGGTAAGCTCGTTACTTTCAACGGATACCAATTACCAAAATTAATGAACAGATGAAGCTAAATTGATTAAGAATTTAAGGTAGATTGCCCACAATGTTTTTATCAGGAGAACTGTTGTGATCCAATCCAATGCCAACCACTACCCTGTAGGTCTTCTGCATATCAGCTACAGCTACAGCCCAACCGAAGAAAACTCCCCAAACTTGGTCCGGGAGAGCAGATCTTCCATCCCCTGATATGTGGACTGCGGATTAGAATAAATACAAATTTCCACAAATATTCAACCATAAAGATGAGGATGCAATTAACTAAAAGTGCCTCATCAACCGTACTCCAGCTTGGCAGTTTCCACCGGCGCCTGTCCAGGGTTGGGCCCTGGGATTTGACAGAGGACTTAAAAGCCACCTGTCAAGAACTTGAAAAATATATTCCATCGCGCAAGAATAAAACGTTACACTAACCTGTGACTTCACAGACAAACCCATTGACATAGAGACCACTGAAATAAATTGGTTCAATTGGCAGTGCCTTATCTACCCCTGCAACAATGAATCAAGAAAATATTTGACAGGGAAGGAAGGCCCTACGGACAAATACATGCAAACCATGAGAGGTGAGAGACGTACAGTCCTCAAATGGAGGAAGGCCCCAATGCTCAGGTTGAAACTCCAAAAGAGAATGAAGCACAGTATCTGCAAGGGAGGAAGAACCAGCAGCTTCACCACGGGATGGAATAGCCACTACCTCCATTCCGGCAGCATTGGCAGCTTTAACACCAACCCTGTTAAAATACATTGATTAAATAAATCAGCATTGCATATATCCATGTATACCAACTTTTCTTGGCAGACAGGGAAACATGATGGACTATTGATAAAAATGAGACAAATTTAAGTTCAGATGTATATGTTTGTGATCAAATCCTACAATGAGTCTTCAATCACAAGGCAGTGAACTGCATCCACACCCATTTGCTTCGCTGCCTCTTCAAATCTATAAACAATTCGGAAACTATATTAGCATCGGTGAAAAGGAAAGTACAATGTATGTGAGGTGATACTTTCTTCTTGGCATGAAATTGATCAGGTCTTTGAACGTTTTCTAGGTTGAAAAGGGATGGGGAGTTCCAAATTTCCGTTTGTATGCATCCAAGGAAGCCTTGTATTTTCTGTGAATTCACTTACAAATATGGAGAGGGCTTCCCCGCTTTAACCTGGTCACTGCCAAGAATTACTGAAAACAGTTCCTTCCAACCTATAGTATACATATGATTAAACAGATTAATAACAAACAGAGGCATCACAGGTCGTCCATTATGTTTCACAGATACTTGTATGAGAATAACGCAGAATGATAGGTAATCAGAAAAATTGGATCAAGGAATACAACAACAACAACAACAACGACAACAGATGTGGAACACTTCTTTGCCAAGTAAATTTCGACAAGAATAAGTTTTCTGACTGGTTTGTAGATTCAGTATCAATTGAATCAGCTTCAGCTAGCCTTATTAAAGACTGTAATTCAGAAAATAACCGTAAAGTAGTGGGACAAACGCAGCAACACAATGTCTCGTCATTTCATTGCCAGCTTAGCACAAAGATATAACACTGGTTATTGTTAACAGTGAGGAAAATTGTACAAACCTCGATGGTGAGAGATTTTTGCATCTATGTATTCTCGTAAGGAGTTTGAAGCAAGAGCTATAGGTACTCCATGGTCATGGAAGTGTTTGATAAGGCGATTAGCACCAGGTAGAGCTTTTGCGTACATCCACCTGAAAGTATCACATTTTTTTTTTGCAGATGTGTTAAACAACAATTAATTGAGTGGCAACATGTAAATGGCACAAGGTCGTCCAAAAGCGCTTACTTTTCTTGGTATGGAATAGAGGCAAGAGTGAGACTTACTTTTCTTGGTACATGGGGATGATTTGTTGGACAAACTGATCAGGGGTGAATGGAAGATGATAGTCCTCAATAACCGAAGCTGCCGAGTCTTTGAGTGTCATCCCCAACCTCTTCTTCTCCTCCCCTTCTGTGTCCAAAACTTTGCCATGGCGGGCCAAGAATTCCTCGAACACGCCCTTTGTTGCCCGCTCTGAGCCACATTCACACACACAAGCAAACTCTAATGAGTTAAGAGTTTGAAAATTAAGAAAAAAGAAAAAAACAAGAACAAGTGGGGAGGGGAGGAAATTTGAGACCTGTGTCCAAAAGGGTGCCATCCAAATCAAAAATAACAGCCAAAATCTTGGGTTTTGGGGTTTCTGCGGCTGCATTGTTGCACTCGCACCCACAGCAGTTCATGGTAATATTGGTGTATTGGTGTTGGTAGTGAGACAAGTGAGAAAACAAGGATTGAATTGGAATTGGAACTGGTTTTCCAGTGTTCAAGTATCTAAGTGTATAAATATGCAGAAGGGGAGGCCAGATTGTTAATTGTAATTAAATTTAATTAACCCCCAATTAACTTTTGGGTGTAAACAAAGATGAGCATTCATTCGAATGCCATTGTGCTGAGAATACAGTGCAAATTGAAGAAATAATTTCAGAGTTTCAGATTCTCTCTCTCTCTCGTGTTGTAAATTGTAGTTGCGCCAAGTAAACAATAGCCAGACTTGTGGTCATGAGAGGCTAAAATGCATTTGTAAGTCTTTCCGGCTCCCAAAAATAATGAATAACCGTGGCTTGCCATTCATTATCTTTTTCAAAAAAAAAAAAAAAAAAAAAAAAGGTAAACAATGTCGTATGCGTACAAGACCTGAAAGCGACTGCCGTCTACACTAATGTTTGTATAAAGTAAAAACTACATCGTTATTAGGACAAGAAATACAATGCTAACACCAAGATTATAAGTAGAGTCACGTTTGAGATTGTTTGTTTAGGTCAATGTAGGAAGGGGATGGGAATCCGAACTTAGGACCATTATTATTAGGTGTATTCAATTGGGATTTTGAGAAATTTTAATTCTTTTAATGTATCTTAGGGGTATTTCATTTAGGATTTTAAGATAGGTTAATAAAATTCTTAAAAATCCGGGTGTATTCAATTATGATTTTAAAAAAGTTTATAACATTTCAGGTGCATTCAATTAAGAATTGATTTTAATTTTTTTTAAAAAAAGTTTAGAAATTTGACGGAATTAGAGAGATTTCATGGTGCATTTTAAGTATTAACAAATCTCACATCTCTCCCTGAGATTTCAAGGGAATTAAATTAAAATCTTACATGGAATATCTACAGATGAATTAAAGTCAAATCAAAATCCATGAATTTATAAATCTATTAAAATTTCTTAAAATCCTAATTGCGTACACCCCTAAAAGCAAGTTGGTTAAAATTGAGAAGATATAGAGGTAGTGTTTGTGATTAGCAAATATTACCAAGATGAGTATAATTAAAAGGAAAACTAATGAAAAGAGCTTAAAAACTTTGAGTTTAACAATAAGGACAAAATAAAGGGTAAAGTGAATAGTACCAAATTTGACTTTTTAGTGTAAAAATGTAATTTTTCGTTAAAGTGAACAGTTTTTTTCATTAAAGTTCCCTAACTTATCGTTTGGTATGCAGACGGGACGGGACGGAATGGAACGGAGCGTGAGCAAAGATGCCCTCAGATGGAAACAAGGAGGAATAAGAAGGAGACGGAGAGGTTATAATTTTGTGTTCCACAGATGTGGAACGAGTCGTTTCAAGGGGTAAGGTGGAACGAGTCATTCCAAGGGGTAAGGTGGAACGAAAATTCACCCAAAACTCGTCCCGTGGAACAGCTCGTTCCACCCGTTTTAGGCGCACCAAACGTGGGACGGAACGCCTTATCTCACTTTGTTCTGTCCCGTCTCACGTACCAAACGGTACCTAAATTAAATCATGTAAATTTGCACATAAGTACAATAAATACGAACAAAACTCAAAAAGAGTTGGCGTTTTGTTTTAAACAAGAATGTAGGTGGCTGGCTTGCTATGCCAATTGATTCCATTGAATTCAAATCTTGATTAATCAACAAAACCACTGGATTAATTAACAAGAAAACAAATAGGTAACTGTTGTACGAAGCAGACACCAATACAAGTCCAGCGTGAACGTTAAAGTCCCCCATTCGGATTTGGATTGGACTCGATCGTTCCATAAACTTTGGGAATATATGAAAAGCATGTCGATACAACGACATCGTGGACGCACGAATCCATTCTTTATCACAAACCCGACTCCAAACCAGAGCTTTTTTTACCACTAGGATGCGTGGACCTGTTCAAGCATCACAGAATCACTAGCACAAAACTCCACAGCTTACGCCATTTCAGTGCTCGACGACAAGGACAGGCATTGACAGGACTAATACAAGTATCGGTGGTATGGGGGTTCAAACACATAGGTTTAGGGTTTACTCGTTCGATGCTCAAAACTCGGTGGAGACCAACAAAACTAGCGTACGCCGCCTTCAGAGGCGACCCATGTGAGCTCTAGTACTTGCAATACTCCCCCAATTCTTCGAAGGCAAGCAATCTTTATTGTTTCTCACTAGTCACTACAACTATAAACGCGACAACAAAGCAAGGGACAAGGAGCAAGAAGAACGGGTAGACTTTTCATATCACAGATTCAACACCGTACACAAAAGGCTTGTAGCAACAGTGAAACAAACTACACACGAGCACAAAATCCTCCCTCTGGGCTACGGCATGTTCACCAAAACAGAAAGTCACCCTAAGCAACTGGTTAATCCTCTATACTCCGTCCAACATAAACGAGTAGGAAAAGCTAGTGCAAAGCAGATAGGACTACATCCGGATACAATGCTATTATAAACCACACCACATAACATCGGACACAACTCAATAAAGGGGGAAAGAGAAGAGAACAACTACAAAATAACACGGCAAACAACGAACACCGGAATTTGTTCAGCACCAAAGTAAATGAGACTCAGGCCCATCCTTGGTCCATAATACACAGAGCATATCCTAAGATGCCACCTAAATCACTGCCACGTAAACAAAAGAGCAAAGTAGTCGTACATCAATATTACTCACAAACAGCTAAGAAATCTGTGAGTTTGCCTCTTCCAACTCGCCAACCTTGGCATTGCCATTCACCTTTTGGGAATCCTCTGCGGCAGAAATATGAGAGCAATAATAAGTATTAAAGACGATGCTTGGTATTTAAAAAACATAGATCAAACATGTTATCCACCGACGAGTTTATTTAGAATTTTGTACTAGACTATTGATGACTTGACAGTGCATTTCTATACTAATATCTTTTAGCCCGTGCATAGTTTCTCTGTGACTGGTAGGACAGTTTCGAAAATAAGTATCACTTTGCAGAACTGGTGCATTAGCTATGACCACTTGAAGGAATTCACATAACGAACTACAAAACAAACAGGATCATTGCATTTCATCTAAATGCACCCAGAGAACAATCAAAGGTTAGATAACATTTTGCTTAACTCTAGATATCATTTCAAAGCCTGTAAATCGAATATAACCCAATTCTTTGAATGTAAATTATAAATGCATGCTTAATTTTACTTACTAAATGAAAAATATCATAAAATAAGATTGGAGGGAGCTCTTATATAAAGTGCTTGCTGAAAACTTGTTTTGTTATGAAACTGCCTCCACTAAGTCATAATTAGAGACATAAACTTTTGATTGTCAAGAATCAAGGCATACAACGTAAAACATCTGAGACGAAACCCACCCAACAACCAGGCAAGTTTCATAAATACAAAAGTTTTCCAACATACAGGTTTCTAAACCCAACAAGATTCCTCAAAATCAACTATAAAAAAGCTAATGTGATCATAGAATCTAAAAATGGAAAAAGAAACCACTGCCTGTACTAAAATAAACTTGTTAATTTGTTTGCATAAGTCCTGCAAGAAGTACATATTTGACTTTTAAGATTTCTTTTCCATTACAATTTGGTTTCGTTGGGTCTGAGCAACTGGTGAGTTGCAGAAAAAAAACAGTCTCTGAAGGCGTAGTATATTGGCGCAATGATAATTGTGACAACTTATTTGTTAGCAGAAAACATTTGGCCGTAACTAACAACCAAAAGCAGATTATCAATTCCTTTGAAGAGTATTTGAATCAAAGAATCCATAGACATCAATTCCATAAGCATAAAATGGAGATATCATCTCTGCTAGAAATAATTGAAATATGATCTAGGTCTCAGATGGGCATTGAGTTATAGAAAATTCTTCCACTACCTATTTATTTCTCTCCTTCAACGAAAAAACCCAGGAGTTCGAAAAGAAGGAAAGAAACCAAATTATACCAGTATTCCAAGCCATCACATTTAGGACCATTCTAAGGTGATGTATCTTGAAAAATATGAGTTAATAGTAAACAACATAGTTTCTCATCGAGCTTATGCAACCTTTCATGTCATTACTCTACAATAGTAGACAAGACTTCAGCCAATGTGAACATTTTCCCTCTAACAAGATAGTTCAAAAGTAGGCAAACACACATCACAAGCATAAGAATGGTAACAGCATGTAACTTTATAAATGCATCAACAAGAAAGCCTAGAAACACAATTATATTTAAAATCCAGTCAAATGAAGGCGTAGTATATACTGAAGCAAATCCTGAAATGGGCAGAAAGGTAAAAAAAGAGAGGGGAACTAATCTAATAAAAGAAACTAATCCTCTGAACTTTCATAGAGATGGGAATTGTGTGCATCATTAACTCCTGAAATTATTATTACCATTACCTCCATCTTCTGGATGGTCAGAAGTCCACAATGTGAGGTTGTCCCTTAAAAGCTGCATGATTAAGGTGCTATCTTTGTATGACTCCTCATTCGAAGAGTCAAGCTCAGCAATAGCTTCATCAAAAGCCATCTTTGCAAGGTGGCAAGCACTGAAAAACAGTATCCACATCAAAAGAAGGGAATTTTGAGATAAACATAACAGTAATCAATCCCAAAATAGCGTCCTACAAACCTTTCTGGAGCATTCATGATCTCATAATAGAAGACTGAGAAATTCAGAGCCAGACCCAAACGGATGGGATGTGTGGAAGGCAACTCGGCCTCAGCAGTAGTGGTGGCAGTCTGCAAAGGCATCAATTTTAAGATAAATAAGCATTTTCCAGTGCCAGTGTTAATAGAGCATGAAAACCTAAGATGCCGTTTTTTGCAGAAAAGAAATTGTGCCAACCCTGCAGTGTATAAGCAATAGGGGAAAAGAAAAAGGACCTGGGCAGATAGAACAACAGTAACAGCAATGAAACAACAATTTGAGAGCATCATCAGAGAGAGAGAGAGAGAAAGAGAGAGAGAGTGGGAGGGGGAGGGGGAGAGAGAGAGAGAGAGAGAGTAACCTCGTATGCTTTCTTTGACTGTTCAGCAGCCTCTTTTTTATCGTCACCGCTCTTGAATTCTGCAAGATACCTATAATAATCTCCTTTCCTATAACCAAATTATTTTGATGTTAACATTTATTTACCTTCATGATGCCCATTTTAAAAACAATAGAAGAACAAATAAATAAATAATATCTCTTCGGTTTTGAAAAACATAGTCTCACATCTTATAATAGAAAACAGTTGATTCACCAACTGTAGCAGAAGGAATGAGATGCTCATCGATCACTGCCATGATATCACTACAAATGGTTGAGAGCTCCGATTCAACCTTCTGTCTATACTCCTTGAGTTGCTTCACATGAATCTCATTTCCTTTTGCTTCCTCTTTCTGTTCAATTGATGATAGGATCCTCCATGATGCGCGACGAGCACCAACAACATTCTTGTACCCAACAGAGAGCAAGTTTCTCTCTTCAACCGTCAATTCAACATCAAGATTTGCGACCTTCTTCATTGCATCAACCATCTCTGTTAAAATTTAGCAAAGAAATCACAAACAACATCTTATATTAGATTTATGGTCCAGTAAAAAGGACCCACACTTTTCAACAAGGCAGAACCATGTTACAGAGAGGGGAGCAATTGCTCTATTAAATCTGGAATAAGCAGATACAGGTAGGTTCAGTTTGAGTTTTGAAGCAATATGACTTGCTTAAAACAATTTCTTGGTCAAAATTGAAATTAGAGTTCTAATTAAAATTTTGAACACTTAGAATGGAAATCGATGAACTATGTTAATCGGTTAGGTCAGTGGGCGACAAATAATCATGTGTCACAACCCGAGATGCACTTCTAGAAAATAAAAGGTTGAGTAAAGGTTTATCTCTAAAAATTGCATCTTTTGATTGAAACAACTAAAGATAACGAGATTAAAAAATTACTCACTGATTTACTCAGCCTAACCCAAATTCAATGCACACATTACTTAGCCTCCGTTACTGCTTTAGTTTCCATCAAAAGAAAAACAACAAACACTTTCTGTAGCAGTAAGTTTTTGTATCAAATCAAAGAAGTACTTAAAAAAAAAAAAAAAAACACCATACCAAGAAATCGAATGCACCGAAGATCTATACAGCAATAACTGAGTATTTGACTGATTCCTAGTTCCAATCATCAGCATTAAACCATAAAATTAAACGAAAGACTCCCATTTCCCTCACTTTCTCACCAACCAAACACTAAATTTGCAAAATTAAGCGATTAAAAATAAAACAAAACTCCAGATAAATAATCACACTCAGTGTGAAACAGAAATACAAAAGTGTACGAAAGAAATAAGGGAGGAACCCTAACCATCGTATCGCTCTGCCTGCTCAGCGAGCTTGGCAAGGTAAGCGCAGTTTTCACGTTCAGTAGCGAGACCCATAGCGAATCGAATCTAGGGTTTTTGGCAGCCTACAGTTTGGGAGAATTTGGGGCTTCCGAATTTTCTTTCGATCTCACTCAAACTTCTAATTGTTTCCGCAAAGCATTTATACGGAACAAAATGGGGTCCAAGAATAACCCTTTATTATCATTTTAATTATTTTATTTTGTCCCCCCCTGAAAAAATTATTTATTTTGTCCTTATGTGGCAAGAATTGGGACTTCGAGTCACACGGCAAATGGCTTGGATTTGTGGGTTGTGGCCTATGCAAAAGCCACGTCTAAAAAGGACAAAAACTAGTGTTTTCTGGGGACAAATTAGGATTTGCCAAGTAAGCTTCTAGGATCCATAACGAGAGACTTTTTAGTGTGAACGGAATACGGGATAATATATCACATGTTACTATGTAAATGGTGAGATATGTATTAAAAAGTTAATTACTTAAAAAGTAAAATTTCCCATGACTTATATAAAAACACGCGGTGTATTTAGTGGTGAATCAACGTGAGGGCGAGGAGTGACGGCCGCCCATCATCTCACCGAAAAACAAGCCTAGGAACTCTAGTTTAGCCCCTCCGCTCTCGTCGGAAATAAGAATTCCCACCGCTAGTGGCCACGGTCCTTGCCGCACAATCACCAACAACGATCCCACTACTACCAGCCACGGTCCTCTCCCACCAGGCCACCACCATCGGCCACGGTCGTCTCCCACCACAGACCAGCGTCCTCGCCCACCACCATCAGCCATTGTCCCTCGCCGAAACTTATGGCACCTTCATCGTTGTAAAATTTGGATCTCTTGTAAGAGTAGAAAGCCGTGAAAAGAAGAGCACCCAACCCCACGAGCCATCACCCTCTCTGTATGAAAATCAAGGAACCCAAATTTTTGGACTACCATATTGGGATTCTGGAAATGAAATCTTCCACCATAGCTAGATTGCCATGATTTTTTAAGATATGAAAATGGAAGTGTCTGTCTAATTGTGTGCTTTGGCGAGGAAGAATGATGAGTGTTTGGCTACAAGAATAAAGGATGTTTGGTTGTGTTTGCGAGATTTAAATAAGGACAGGAGTCGTTGCTTTATTGTGCCATATAAGGCCTCGTTTGGCAGCTCAAACTATGCTGACTATTTTTGTCGGATATGATAAATAGTCACCGAATAGTACTGACTAAATTAGTCAGGCGTTTGATACAGTATCAGACTAATGACCGTATTATTTATACTGTGTTTGGCACTGAACCGGATAAGAAAAGGAATCTTTTTATGTTGAATGAACTTTTCTCTCTTCCCTCCCCAGATTGCTGATCTTCTCCCCAGATTTCCGATCGTCTCCTCCCCTCACTCCCTCCTCCTCCATCACTCCCTTCCCAGATTTCTAGGTTCTAGTGGTGTTTGATTCAGACAAGAGGGGGTTCAGAGGCCTAAAAACGGCTTCGTTTCGATGATAGAGGTTGATAGAAAGTTGAAACTCTAGAAAATGGCAGAGAATGATCCTTCAAGCAGAAACGGTATGTGATAAGTGGTCATAATTCGCAAATGAAAATGCGAGAGATGGGTGTCCATCCCAAAGCTTGTTACGACAATTGTGCACTCCCCTTTTATACCGTTTGATCCCCATTCTACTTTAAAAAAAATGGCATAAAGTTGCAGAAAGTTGAATTTGATTTTCACCCAATAAATTACTCACAAGCTTTGAAGCTCTAGAAAATGGCAAAAAGTTGCAGACTTTAAAGCTCTGTTGTGTTAGATAATGGCAGATGAAAAAACCCAGAAATCAAAAATTGCAGAAAAATTCCATGAAACAGAGGGAGGGGTAGAAACTGGGAAGAAGAAGAAGATGAATGAGAAGATGAACTTGGATTCAGATGAAGAAGAAGATGAATGAGGGAGGGGTGGAACCTGGGAGGACCGACAGTGCGTTCGGAGAGGAAGGAAAGAGCGAGCCCGACTAAATTGTCCCGTGGTTTTAGACGGGATAAATAGCCGGATGTGAGGGGTATAAGATAAGTGGGCCCAGATTAAATAGTTCGGTGCTTATTTCATACGAAGCTCACCAAACACCTACTTCGTATTATTAATACTATCTAGTGTGCCAAACGAGGCCTAAATGAATGTGTATATTGAGTACTCAAGTATTTTTTTTTTCTATTCTGACCCCAACTTTTTTTTGTGGTTCATTAACCCATTTATCTCCTTTTTTTTTCTTTTTTTTTTATTTATTCTTGTATGTATTTTTATTTTCTCTTTTAAGACTGCCACCGTATTGATCTTAAACTCTCACATTATCTATAAATATTGTATTACTTTTTAAAAATAATGTAAATTTTGTTTAATACTCATTTTACGATAATTTAAATCCATCTAGGCTCCTGTCTAGATCTCGTGTAGTTGCTAGGTCCTAGTCCGTTGTTTGACTAGTGCCTAACATTTTTTAGGATCTAATCCTAGCCAATTTAAGCTTTTTTACATTGGCTTTGATATTATTGCTTACAACCGCTTTGGTGGAGAGACTATTTTTTGCTATGAATATTGACTCAAAACTTTGCACTTTCCAATGTGAAAGCAACCACTTCGATTGAACCTTGCACCCTTTGGAATTTCGCCCCTCCCCTCAGCGAATCTTGGCTTTGCCACTAGGTGTATCATCCATGTTCCAGTCACAAAAAAAAATTTCTCTACCCATAAGGATTATACTTCTTTTTGTGTTTTTTCTTTTGAATTTTTTTGCCCATTGTCCTTAAATGATGATGATATTCATCACCTTATTTGTCAATGTTCGATGAATTTAAATTCCGAGATTTGAGTAGGAAATAGACACAAATCCTAAAATTTAAATTCATTCAATTGGATGATGAACATTATCACCATACGAAGGTAGTTAGCAAAAATGTACCCTTATTTCTTTGTTTTCCATTTGGGTAAAAGGTTAAATGTCGGCAAAACCCATTTCAATGGAGGTAGTTTGACCTAAAAAATAAAAAAGGAAGAAAATAGGGTTGGGAATATGGGAATTGGGATCTGTGGATTTGGACGATATTTATACGTCCAATGTAAACATATTTGGTTCTTATTTTCTAATTTTCAAAAATGTCTGAGTTCGACTCTATAAATCGAGTCCCTTTTTTCTTAGATAGGGGTAATCCGACTCAGACAGTTTAAAGGTAAGCACCAACACCAAGCACTAAGCAATTTATACCATATAGGTTCTAAATCTTTCTTACTTTCCTAAACCAAATAAAAGGGTTCAATTAGTAAAGCCTAAAACTAAGAGCTTGTTTGGATGTGTCTTTAAAATGATTGAAGGCACTTTTGATGAAAATCTTTTTGGAAACAATCCTTAGTAAAATTGCTGATAAATAGTGGAAAAACATTTAAGGTGCTTCCTGGAAGAAGCACATAACTGATGTTATGTTTTTGGAATTCAAGAACATTTTTTCTAAAAGCATTTTCAGTCATTTTAAAAGTACATTTAAACGAGCTCTAAGCTTTCCCATAACAACGCATCCACCATGGGTTTTGGGAATACCATAATCCGTACCATGTTATAGTGCTACTGCTTGCATCAAAATTCAATTTTCGGTTTCCTTACAAAATATTATTAGCTACTATATTGTTAGTACTACTGTAACAACCCGTTCCAAATTTTACGTTTTTATTTTATTTTAAAAGCGTGAATTTACGAAATTGCCCTAGAGGCAAGGACTTTGACTTCCGTTGACCATCGACTTGAAAGATGTGGGACTTATTCTTTTAGCATATCCTCGTAGTACTCATTGGTACGAACGTATAGGCGAAAGCCGTTTGCGAGTCCGGATTATAACGGTATAGTTACGGACGTTCGAAATCGGTTATTCAAGGTTAGTGTGTATTTAAAGGGAGGACCAATCAGAAATGGAGGGAGAAGAAAAAAAAAAAAAAAAAAAAAAAAAAAGGGAAATGGGTTTTCGTCCACCCGCACCCACCGCGGGTGGCCATTTTCCAAGGCCGATTCCGGCCAACTCCGGTGGAGTTTTTCGATGCCACCACCACCATTTTGAAGCTCTCATTCCCCTCTACAAAACCCATCCAAGAACCACCTTGATTGACCACGGGATGTGGAGGTTTGAGGCCACGAAAGTTGACGAAAACCAATGGTGCTCCGGCCACCCTTCTCCATTTTCCGGCAAATCGGCAAAGCGATGGCCGATACCACCACTTGGGCTTTGTAGCCCATCACCCCAGGAGCAAAACCCAACCAACCTTGACCCCGTTGGACCACCGTAGACGACGAATCGACGTCGGGAAGTTTTAGGCACCCGCCGGCTTCGTGGGCAAAATTGACCATCTTCCGTCCACTTTTGGACTTCGTGGCAGGTATGAAAGTTGCTCCACTCACTGAGATCTTCATTTCTGTGAAGTTTGATAATTTTTGGAATTAGTTGGATTTTCCGGCGAGTCGGGGCGGCCGACCGCCACCCGCGGCGGCGCGTGCGGCGGCGCGTGGCCAGTGAGCCGCCAATGCTATTTTTAGGCTATGTCGAATGTTTTGAATTCAGTTTTGTCATTTGAATGACGTAGGTTGATCGTTGGAACCTAAATTCGTTATAATACGCTACTTGATAAAAATGTGAATCGATGATCCGACCGTTGGATCGTCACCAAAATTGGATACATTATAATACGTAATATTTAAAGATCATAGGAATTTACGGATCGGGAATCCGACTTACGGATCTTCCTGAATTGGATTTGTAAGTTAGTAAAATAAATGTTCACGGCCACTTGTTTTAGGCAATTGGCGAAGATCTGACCGTTGGATCGTAATGAAATTTTAAGATGTTATTCTAGAAACATATTGTGGATCATTGGAAGTTGCAGATTGGAAATCTGATATGCGGATCTTCCGGGTCAGGTTATACAGGGTTGTAAACCCTACCGTCGATCTTTGATCGACGGTTGACTTGTGGTCAATAGGTCTCAACCTATTTTAGAAAGTCGTCGAGGTTGTGTTTTATGGGAATTGCATATTCTTCAGATAAGAGTTCTGAGATGTGATTTGATAATTGGCCACAGGGACCGATCATTCAGGACGCCTCGATGCGCGTGCTAGAGTAGTATA